AGCTACGGTGGTTTAGTTATCTGATTTACTTAGTTTATTTATTGCTTTATTTTCAGTATTCATCTATTTCATCTACTATTTGCTGATCTGAATCATAGTCGAGTCTTGCTCTTAGTGTTAACTATTCCCTGTGTTCGACCCTGGTACTACAGTTGATCCGTATCCTTGCGGTATTCGCTGTATCTAGGTTTTTATTACTTGAGCTTATTTATACACCTAGATTTGCGTTATCAGCAAGTCATAGAGCCGAGCCTCCACTTACTCGTGCTACAGCTCGAGCACTTCGTGTCACGCTTACCGAAGCCGTCACCAAAGTTCTCCACGGATCCCGGGTTCACAATAACGATGATACTTCGTTTTTCGGACGAAGCTCGACCCGGAACTTTCTCACACTTGAAGTTGTCGATGTCTAAGCCTAAGATGCAACCCATGAGCCTTTCTCATCAGCCCACTCGGCCCATTAAAGAAGTTGCAACAGCCATATTTTGTCAACTACTTCATTTATTGACAATTAGGCTCCTATCCTTGCATGTTAGCTAGCATTTAATGTATTGTTTTCACTTAAACTCTTTTAAAACACTTGTAATGCATCATGAACGAAGCTAAGTTTGATTATTGAAGTTTTCTTTTGAGAAATCTCTCTCTTTGGCTGGTTCGTCCGCCCCTATTCACGTGGTTCGCCGGTTTGTCTAGCAGCCCCGTTGTTGGCCGTCGTCGGTGTGTCCGCCGGTCATCCTTGAGCTCGGTGTGTCCGACTCTTCTCCTTGGTCTGTCCGAGGAAGCCTTCGTTCATCTCCATCCCCTTGAAACGATTCCGAATTCGAGAGCCACTCCCGTGAGCCGGTGATCGAAATCGTTTGCCCATACAGGAAATCTTGCCATTCGTCAGCAGCATGCTTGAGTGTTTCTTCAGGGATATCTACAAGCGGTATCCCAGAAGAGTGAACTGAGGGGGTTCCGATTTTCTGCAAAGTGTTGAGGGAGGACACAAGACGCTGACTCCAGTTTGCTACAGAGACTTTCCCTTGCATCACCTCCTCTGCTGGAGCGGCGGCAGCAGAGCCTACAGCGGCATGGACCACCTCATTGGGAGCCAAAGGCTCAGCTGTTGGAGGATCTACAGCAACAGAGGGGAGCTTTAAAAGGGGAGAGATGGACTGAGGAGTAGAAGAAGCACGAGGAGCTGGAGACAGAGCCCTCGGAGACGAAGTGAAATTTGGGGAAGAAGTCACGGGAGACGGTTCTAGAGGGGCCGCCTTTGGAGTCGGAGGTGGGAGAGCATGAGCTACATCTCGCCTGGAGAGAGGAGAAGAGGGAGGAGGGCCTAGGATGCCGGGAGACGGAGGGGCGGAGCTCGATCGAAGCCGAGGAGCCATCGAATCGAGTGAACCAGCGAAAAGGGGAAAAAGGTAGAGGAGATCAAGGGGGGGAGATTTCTGAGTGATCAGATTTTACGCCGGCCGGCGGGGCCGGTTTCCGGCGGGATTTGAAGTTTGGCTTGCGGGGATTTAGGTTTGCGAAAGGGTCTAATATAAAAGAAGCAAGTAAATAGCCTTCTCTTGTTACTTGTTTGGGTAGCGCTTGAAAAAAGTGTTAGAGTTACCTTTCCAATCCCAAATACAAACGTTTGGTTGTTGATTATTAACCATAAAGTTTGCTCCTTCTGTAGACTCATCCATTGTGTACGGACTTTGAGTGTTTGTGGAAGTAGCTATGTCAGCATTCATCAATTGTACTCGCAACTCAGGGAATTCTAATCGCACCGCCTTTAGCTCTTTTGCATTCTGTGTCGGCTACCTTGCCAATACATTCCTTAGGCTATACGTTCGCCGGCCATTTTCATGATATGTTGTTCTAACCCGTTAAATGGTGTATTGTAAACATTTTCTTTACATGTAAAATTGATCCAAATCATCGCTTCTTCTCTAAACCCGCAAGAAAAGTGGTTAACTGATAATTGTGATTCATCCCATGTCGATGACATGATCTTTGGTATCCTTTGTATCTTTCTCACATTTTATTTAAATTATCGTTCTCCAAGGGAAAGA